TGACGGCTGATTGGCTGTGGGTAAATGTCCGGTGTGGGCCTCTGGGGCTGATGTGTGGTGGTTTGTGCTGTTCCAGATGGAGTTCCTCTCTCCGTGCTCGGACAGGAGCGGGAGCAGCGACGCGTCCGGCTGCAGGCCCTCAGCAGACGGTCAGTCCACTTATATTTAGCAGCCGCAGCTGCTGAGTGGAGCATGGAGCTGGTGGGGGGGGGGGTCAAAGTCTCCAAAAAATGTTCAGCATTGATCCTTAAATTTATTTTTTCTGGAGAATTTGGGGGAAATAAATGGACAAACTGTAAAGCAGAGTTTAATTAACAAAAGTTCTAAACGATAAAAATAGAATTAAATTATCCTCAAAATGTCTTCAGTAAATTTAAAAAGAGAAAAGTTAAGATTTTGGCTTATATACCCTGAATATATCCAAATTCTAAAATTTCCTGTGAAATTTCAATGCGCCCAAAAAAAACAGAAAGAGAAAATGAGGAGGGAAAATAAAATAAAATAAAAATGCAAAGATCAGTTTAATTGGAAATTCTGTTTAAAAAGAGATAGATGTGAAAATGTAGTCATAGATTAGTTTATAATGAGAGAAAGAGAGTATGCTACATATATTTTTAGGTCTCAAAGAACTTGTACCAATTCTTCTTTTCAAAGATTTAAAGAAATATTTCTTTGGCCCTTTTAGATTTCCATATTCCTGGAAAAAGTTCATCTTTAGTTGAAAGGATAATCCAGCTATTTTCCAATCTGTTTTCCAGCCCCAATGTGAACCTGCAGTCAGTGCTTCTTCATTTAATGTAAAATAACATGATTCATTATATAGATATTACTGTTATTTTTTACCAGAAGAGACAAAGATAGTTTATCACGTCTTTGTTTGGAATTAACAAGACTTTGGGGTATTTTTTTCTCTTTTTTTCTTCCTGTCCTCCGTCCAGAGCGCGGCCGGAAGCCCCCCCTGGTGTCCAGCCTGGACTGCCTGTCCAGCATCGTGGAGCGCATCAGCACCGACCCGCCCGCCCCCCCCCATGGGGACAGCGTGGTCCCCCGGGGGCCCGGCTCCCCCCACAGCAGCCCCCCCGCCGTGTCCGCCTCCCCCGCCGACCCCGGAAGCATCTACGAGCCGGTCTGAACCGGTCTGAACCAGTCTGAACCAGGCCTGTCCGGGCCAGTCTGAACCGGTTTGAGCCGGTCTGAACCGGTCTGAGCCGGTCTGAACCAGGCCGGTCTGAACCCAGGACCCCTTTTCCACTGAGACACACCCAGAACCTCCATCTGGAGGAGACCACTGAGATATTCCTGAGCCCCCCACAGACTCCTCCGGCTGCAGAGGGTTTGTTCCTGACCTGTGTGCTGGTTTTGGGCTGACCAGGAGGACTGATACACACTGAGGACCATTCTCTGCCCGGGGCAGGCCGACCGGACACGGAGCTGCTCTGGCAAATGTTTTTAGAATATTTATAAGTTGATGGACTCTTAATAAAGAGATATTTATATTCTGAGTTTCTCTGCCTTAGAGGAGAATCAAGGTCTGCTTTAACCTTATCGACGTAAAAAAAGACACATAATTAGAGTTATTTTTCACATTGATGGTGTCCAGGGCCGTGCAGGACTTTTTTTCCCTCTGGGGGGCCGTGCCCAGACTGATAAAGGGGGGCATTATTAAATAGCTAAATTTGATTTTAGATGGGCTGACTTTAGACTGTAATGAACACACATTATAGTCCGACACAGTTAATTAGGCTACAGTATGAATAACAGAGCTATTTATGGAGTATTGTAGCATGTCTGGAATTATGGATATTATCGTTTTACATTAAAACAGAAAATAACTTTCACTAAACCCAAACACGAGTTAAATTGTGGACACCGATTTTTAACAATTGGAAAGACAGTTGGTTTAATAAACGGCTTAAATGAATTAAAAATAGACCCAACGATGACATTCAGTGGGTGGGTGTTAAATCAGTTCCCATAAAACTGTCACATACCAAAGAAAACTTAGACACACGAGTAATAAGAACGTTTTCCACAATGATCATTTTAATGATAATACATTTATTTAATCATTATAAATACTGTATAACCGCCATTTTGGACTAGACCAAGTAAATCCATTAGACTGAGCCTTTGTTTGAACCTTTCCTTTATTGTAACTAAACTTTAACTGAAGCAGTTGGAGGCAGTAAGACGTCCAGGAGCTGCTGATGGGGGTGGGGGGGGAGGGTGGTGGGGGGGGGTGCCCTCCTGCCCGGGCCTCCTGCCCCCAGGGGGCGCCGCTCATTTCCTGCGGCGCGAGGCGGCTCCCTTCTTGCTGCTGCAAAGCGGAAAAGACCAGAAACCACATCAGATCTGAGCAGGGGGGGGGGGTCATTCTCTGTACCACAGAGACCACAGCGCCCCCGCGCGCGGGGGGGTGAAACACATCCTAACAGCCTCAGAGTCACAGCCAGAGGGATGCTACTCCATAGGACGGATAAAGAGTCTGAACTAAAGAAAACCACCATTAGCACATCAGACTGGCACCACTACACCAAAGGTTTCACTTATTCAGGAGAATCCTGAATAAGTGAAACCATAATCGACCAGCAGAAAATGAAGCAACACAGCCATGTTTAGATTCCGCTTTTACTTGATTAGTGCTACTAAATAGCTACTAAATAGCTCTAACGTCACACAGACTCACTGTTTCTGCAGCTCGTCGATGCGGTTTCGGAGGGAGATGACCTGTAAAGAAAGAAAACTCTGCCTTAAACCGGTAAATCTCATCAAAAACGGCGCTTTTATCTCACACAAAAGATCAAAGTCTCTCTGATCTAAAACCAGTTGTCCTTTTTCTTGCCTGTTTTGTTTTGGATCAAAGAGCTAAGGCCTCTAAAACCAGCGGCTTTTCTCATTTAACACATACAAATCCTAAACCTTTTCCTTAGCAAAACATTGTCAACAGGTTTTTCTTCTGTTTTTTTAAAATATTGATATTATAATATTATATCTAGACTTGAAAAGGTTGATAGATGAGCGTCACCTTCTCCAGATATGAAGAATAAAATGAGTCATGTGTGGCTCAAGCTGAAATACAAGTTTCTTCTAAAACAGAAACATTCAAACCTCCTCTTTAATGGACTTATTCTTATAAAAAAAGGAGAGAGCACAGTTTGTGTTTGATTCCTAAATGATAATCTGCTGTTTCTCAGATGGACTCCACAGGAACTCAGAGGTCCGTCTGCTGCCTGAACACAGCTGAATCTGGTCAGAACTAGCTCATTTCTGACCACTTGTCTTGTTAGATTTCTCCATTTTTAGAGGAACATGCCCCCCCCAGTGCGAGCCCCCGGGGCTCCAGGCTGCCCCCTGCTGGAGCTTTTTACCGGTTCACCTCAGTGCTCTGTGACTCTGGTCCAGTTTGGGCTCCAGTCCTGCAGGCTTTAGATCTAAATCTAAACTAAAATAGTCTGTTAGAAGAAGCCAAAGAAAAGCTGAAAAAGACATAGAACATAGAACATAGAACAAAGACAGAAGAAGAAAGGCTAAAGGATTAGAAGAAGAAATGCTGAATGGAGGAAGCAGAAGAAGCCAAAGAAAAGCTTAAAAAAGACATAGAACTGAAGAGTGGAAGAAGAAAGGCTAAAGGATTGAAAGAACTGAAGATTTTAAGGAGATTTGAACCAGTGACTTCTCAAACTGGAGTCAAAACCTCTACCATTGAGAATTACCCCAGTCAGAAAGGCTGCAGAGGACTACTTAATAAGAATTTAAAAGGGCTGAAATTCCAGTGACCAGCAGAGGGAGCCATACTTTTGACTCTATTAATTTCAATGAGAGAAAATAAAAGCAGAAAAAGTTAAATAACTTAAAAAGTTGAAAATATTTGAGCACCAAATGTCATAGATGGATAGTGCCGAAGCAGTTGAACATTTTGAGACCGTTTTCAGCCTATTTCAACAAATAGGCTGAAAACTGTGGGCGGAGTTAGACGTAGAAGAAGTGAAACAGGAAAAAAATAGTGAGAATACAAATGTCTGTCATATTCAAGCAATTTTAAAAATGTTTTAAAGTGAGCCGACTCATCCCTTATAAGGTATATATATAACAAAAAAAGATAGCTCCCAACAGATTCCACTGGGCAGGAACGGTCTGGATATTTTTTCTCTCTCTCCACTCCTCCTGACTGACCTCGTATCTCTGTCTCTTGAGCTTCTCGCAGTGGTCGTATTTGATGGCCTCCAGGTTGTGCAGCCACTCCCACAGCTCTTTGGCCTTTTCCCTGACAAACACACACAAGCCACAGAACAACCTTCATAGCAGAACTATTGGAGCATTATTTTCATTCTATGCAGGGAGACAATAACAGCTTCTTTGCTCCAAAGGAAATTTCATTTCTTCATGTTTTTTCCCTTTTTAATCGTCTTAAGAACCACATTGTTGATATCTTTACATATTGTTGTAAAAAAAAAAAAAATGGTGGAGAAAATCAACAAGAGGATTCTCTACTTAAAACTCCAAGTAAAAAACTATACAGTGAATTTTACTGCTAAGATGAGACTCAATGATCAGAAGAAAATGTATGAATAACACTGGATTAAACTTCTGTCCAGTTTTGGAACAAAAACGTCAATTTAGTTTCCTGCTTAGAAGAAAACAAACAAAAACTATGACACAAATCAAGCTGGATTGAAAACAATAACTCAAATTGCATTGAAATAAAATAGTTTTAATTTACATTATGTTTATACCTGTATCATATATTTTTGATTTTATGATGATCTATCATAATCTATCTATCTATCTATCTATCTATCTATCTATCTATCTATCTATCTATCTATCTATCTATCTATCTATCTATCTATCTATCTATCTATCTATCTATCTATCTATCTATCTATCTATCTATCTATCTATCTATCTATCTATCTATCTATCTATCTATCTATCTATCTATATATATAAATA